TGACAATTATGAAATCGGTGACTGCTAAGGCAAAGAGGTGGAGTTATAAAAAGACATGATGATTAATCTGGGTCTTGGGGCGCCTGAGTGGCTCATTCGGTTAAGCGTCCAACTCTTGATTTCGGCTCAGGTCATGATCTCAAGGTTCGTGAGTTTGAGCCCCAAGTCAGGCTCTGTGCTAAGCAGTGCAGATCATGCTTGGGATTCTCCCTCCCTCCCTCTGCCCCTCCCCTGCTCTCTCTCTTAAAATCAATAAATACACAGAAAAAATCTTTAATCTGGGTCTTTAAGAATGGATAATTGAAGAAAGAAGGGCAAGGCTTTTTCTTGAATTGAGAATGACACTTGAAAAGGCACAAGTCTAGTCCTGACATGCCAAACTTAGGCCAACAAGAAGAGGTGGCAAGAACAAATGTGCTCTTTGTTTTAATAACTAGCTCTTTGTAGGGCGAGAAAAAAATGCATTCTAGTCAAACAATCCCGGATTCCTGAACCAGATTTTCTGGGCTTGGATTCAGGCTCTGCTACTTACTAGCTGTGTGACCACTTTTCTGTACATCGTTCCTTATCTGTAGCATGGGGCTAAAAACAGTACCTTCCTCATAGTATGGTTGTGAGGACAAAATGAGCTAATATATGAAAAAAGCATTTAGAACGCTGACTATACTATAACTATCAGCTCTTGTCATGACTACAAAGTATTTTTTTTACACAAATCTAACATGGCACTTTATTAAAAAGAATGATACACTCTGATGAAGTTTTTCTGAAGAATGGAAGGCTGATTCACCATCATCAACTTTGTTAATGTAAGATTTCACTACACTAAATTCACTACATGAACAGAGTAATATATACATATCAGTATATGCTAAAAAGATTTGATTGTTAAAACTTTAATGGAGAAGTTATAAGCAATTGCAAACATCCTATTGAAGACTGAAACAATAGAAATAGTCCCACTAAAGTCAAGACGATGAGGAAAAGAATCAGGAGGCATACATATTAGAAAGTGAGCCAATCCTAGGCCTACCTGTGCTCAAATCTACTCCTGAAATACCTCATGCTTTGCTGTGCATCATAGGTAGGCCAGTCCCTGTGGGCTGCGTTTCCCAAACTTTCTTTTCAACTGGTGGCCAGCTAAACCCAACAGGTGAGAGTGGGTGACTGGGCCAAGCGAGGGGAAACAAGGTATTTCTCCCATTTCCTCTCAGCCTCCTACAGCCTCTCTGGCCACAGCTAAGCCTCCTCCATGACTTCTGCACCAGACAGGTCCACCATGCTTTCAGTTTCTCTGGGGTTACCCTGGTCCCCAAGGTATAGTAACACCGCCTTTTCCTGATTACAGAGTATTTTTCATGGAGTTTATTCTACAGTTTATTACTTTCTCCTAGTAAGTGGCTGATTTTTGTGTCATATTTCATTGCCTTAGCTTCAGGCCTGAGTGACAGATTTTTAAAAAAAATAATTATTTTTTGAGAGAGCACACGCAAGTGGGGGAGGGGGCAGAGGGAGAATCTTTTTTTTTAAGTTTATTTATTTGGCAGGGGGGAGGAGCAGAGACAGAAGGAGAGAGGGAATCCCAAGCAGGTTCCATGCCACCAGTGCAGAGGCTGATGTGGGGTTCCAGCCCAGGAACCATGAGATCATGACCTGAGCCGAAGTCTGATGCCTAACTGAGCCACCTAGGTGTCCCAAAAGAGAGTATCTTAAGCAGGCTCCAGGCTTAGCTTGGAGACATGGCTCAATCTCAAGACCTTGGGATCCTGACCTGGGCCGAAATTGAGTTGGGCACTCGACTGAGGCACCTAGGTGCCCGTTTTTTGTTTTTGAATAAGCAGAGCCATGCCAAGATTCAAACATAGTTAAATGATGGTTGGCTACTTGATAAGAAAAAAAATCCTCTTATGCTAATTTCAAGTACAGGGTAATCAAGTAACATCCTGGTGATACTGAATTCTCATTTGTAAGAGCTGCTAGAGCATTCTATCATGTTAGCAATATAGGAACCACAAGCAGTTTATTGAAGAATTGTCTTTAGGAAAATGACTTCCCACACATTAAATTTATTTTCTTGAGTCTTTTTCTTGAGTCTTTGTATATTTCAAACAGCCAAATTTGTTGATACCAGTGAGGGTTGTTGTCAGGGAAAGAATTAAAGTCTTGGTTTTATAATGGAGGATTGTTAAAGCAGTAACTGATAATTAAGAGTGATTATTGAGGAACACAAGATTTGGATGCCAGGAGTTTTAGCTCTTGGTTTCATCAGTTATCTGTTGTGATCTGACCAAGCCACTTAACCTCTTTGTTTCATTTTTGTTATTTGAGGGTTAAATAATGAAAGTATTTGACACATAATTACTTTTATTAGCACATAAAACATATATTTGGGGTGGAAAATGGGGACAGTTGCCATACTTTCTTAAACTCAGCAAAGTGTTACAGGATTGCAAAGATTAGATTTCATGAAGATATGAAATCTCTAGAGGTTGACTCTCTCTAGAGGTTGACTGACTTTTGTCTTGTCCAAGGTCACAAAGGTGGTTAGTGATAGAGAGAACCTAGGTCTCCACATTCTGGTCACTTGGTCTTCCTGCTGTGCCATTATCGTTCATCATCCATTCATTCACTAAATACATTTTTATGGAAGATAAAAATGGAGCTTAAAACGTTGTGCTAGGTGTCGCTGATTCTGATTTATCAGAGGGAGGTCCTTATAGGGACTAGTGGGTAAGGCTCAACCACGGCGTCAGAGATTGGGTCAATAAAAATATAACCAGTTTAGGCGACAGATGACAATACAGCCGTGCTCCAAGGGGCAGAAACAGAAAGAATTTGTACATTAACTGTGGGGTTTAAGGTACAGGGCGAGCCAATGCAATGGTCTCAGCCCTGAATGAATTCCAGGGAGGTCCAACGTTTCAGAACAAAGGCCATCTCTCACACTGCAACTCTTGCACATGTTTTTGTTTCCCCTGGAAGGCTTGTCCTGGACACAATTCATGTAACTCCGGAGGCCTTGCCTAGTCCCCTCCAGGCCCAGGCGGAGGCGAAGGAAGGACTGCCTCGGGTTCTGCGGTTTCTTGTTGCACCCCCACTCTTGGAGCACTTACGACACACCTGTACTTTCTTTGCCCGAGGACCGCC